GATGAAATCACTGCTAGAGGCAAAACAAAAAACAAAAAAAAAAAAACACTAGGCCAAGAAGTAGAACAAAAGCAAAATTTCTCCCCCTCCTCTCCTCCAGTCGTCCTCTGGGTACGAAGCAGGCAAAGAAAAGGGTGTTTGTGAACACTCTGAGATTCTCTAAATAGCTGCTGCTCCGTCTGTCCTGAAAGGGCCAAGGAGACAATAGGTAGCACCTGTCGCTGGAAACAGGCTGGAACACGGATATTCTCCCGCCAGGCTTTCTGTTGCTAGCGCAGGGGCCTCCAACCTGGGGCCTCCGGAGCTCCGTTTTCACTGGCAGAGGGTTGCAGGAGGACATGGCAGGGGAAAATGGAGCTCGGGAGCCCCTTTTCACTGGCGGAGCTTTCAAAGCCCGACCCGAGTGAGGTTGAGCTGGCCATGCCCACCCTGGCCACACACACACACACACACACACACACACACACACACACCCCTCTGATGCAGCCTTCAATGAAATCGAGTTTGAGCCCCCCTGCTCTGGAAGTCTCCCCGGGAATCTTGAGCAGGTGACTTTCTCCTTGGATTGCCCCTCATAGACCATCCTGGCCGGTGAGAGGCTCACCCCCCCGCCCCCCCCCCCCCGCAAAAAAATGCAGACCACAGAGAGACACTTGTCTCCTCCTTAGGCAGGAAGAGATGCCATCCATGCACGCAGGGAGGGAGCAGAGGGATTCCTGTGTCTGGATCCACACAACCCACTTCACTAGAGTCAAACAGGGCTGGGTTGCCTGCAGGCAATTCTACGGCTCCAAGACCCCTTTCCTGTTCTGAAAGTTGTTTTTCTGGAAACCAGTTAGACGAGGGGTCTCCAACCTTGTCAACTTCAAGACTTGTGGACTTCAACTCCCAGAATTCCTCAGCCAACTGGAGTTGAAGTCCACAAGTCTTGAAGTTGACAAGGTTGGAGACCCCGGGTGAGACCACCTCTGTTCCAGGAAGCCATCAGGGGAGAGGAGAAGGAGGAGAGAAAGGCTCACCTTTGGAAGGATCCATTTTGGGCCTCCTGAAAGGGGTGTTGCTTCAGGCAGGGGCTCTCTAGCACAGGGGTCTCCAACCTTGGCCACTATAAGACTTGTGGACTTCAACTCCCAGAATCCCTCAGCCAGCTTCGCTTGTGGACTTCAAGCCACACTTAAGGCACATTTTTCAAGGCTGTTATAACTTTGAACAGTCACTACACAGACTGTTGTAAATTGAGGACTACCTCTATTGCAGAGCCCCTTTATTGGGATCAGCCACTCAGAGACAGGGCAGCTCCTGGGGCTCAGCTGTGCAGGGATGTGGCTAAGATCAATCTCTCTGTTAGATTAACGGAGTTGGAAGGGACCTTGTAGGCCATCTAGTCCACCCCCTGCCCAAGCAGGAAACCCTACAGCATTTCTGACAGAGGGCAGTCCGGTCTCTTCTGGAAAGCCTCCAGGGATGAAGCTCCCCCAATTTAGATTAGGAAAGATTAACGGAGTTGGAAGGGACCTTGTAGGCCATCTAGTCCAACCCCTCCCTACACCATTTCGGACAAAGGGCAGCCCAATCTCTTCCGGATAGCCTCCAGTGATGCTCGGAAGGAGATTCCCAGGTGAGCAGCAGGTGGGACCCTCGGAATTCGAGGACTCCCCCTCCCAGCTCGTATAGGAAAAAGGGCCTGCTGGTTTCCTGCGGTGGCCCTTCTGCCCGCCCCCCCCCCCCCCCCTTGGGAAGCGAACGGGCAACGGGGGTTTGGCTGGCTGCCGGGGCAGCGCCTCTCCATCCCTCTCGCACCCACCTGCGCTCCGCTCCGCCAAAGCCTGGACAGCTCCGGGGGCCTGGAGGGGGAGAGCGGGGCGTCCCCAGCAGCCGCCACCCCGCCAGGTAAAGGAGCTTCAGGCCCGGTCCTCCCCGCAACCCGGCTCTGCCGCCTTACCTGTCCGGCGCCGCTGGCAGCTCCACGCCCGCCCTCCGTTGCTGCTGCTGCTGCGTCACCGCTTTGCAAGGATCCGGGCGGGGAGGCGGAGGCCGCGGGCGCAGCAGATGCCCGGGGTGTGGGGGGGGGGGGGGCGCTCCGGAGGCGGCTTCTGCCTCCCTGCCGGTAAGTGGATGGTGGTTAGAGATCCGCTAAGCCGCGGCTTGTCCAATGGGGGCCTGGAGAGGAGCCGGCCACGCAACAGGCGGAGTCTCGCCGAGCCCCCCACCCCCAGCCAGCCTTCCCGGGCGGAGGGCGTCGCCGGCCCCGCCCGAAGCCCCGCGGCAGGTGCTCCGGTCCCTGCGGGCTGCCCAATGGGGCAAACCATCATGGTTAAGGGGAACGGGGTCCCGTGCAAGCGAGCGGCGTGTCGGAGAGGCTCTGGTGCAAAAAAGGGCTCGGGGCTTCCAGGACACGGGGACACCCCCCACCCCCGCTAAACGTCTGAGCGGGGGCCTTTTTTCCCCGTTTGGGCGATGGAGGAAGCGGTTCAGTCGGTTTTTCCTCTCGGGGCACCGGGTCGAGGCCCTTTCGGGGAGGGTGATTTAGGCCAGGGGTCTGCAACCTTGGCAACTTCAACTCAGGTAACAGATAATCCGAGCAGCTGGAAGGGACTTGTAGGTCATCTAGTTCAACCCCCTGCCCAAACTCCCTGGATTCCGCAGCTAACCTTGGCAACTTGAAGCCTGGCGGACTTCGACTCCCAGAATTCCCCAGGTAGTCCTTGACTTATGACCAAAAATGGAGCCCCAACATTTCTGTGGCTAAGTCAGACATTTGTTAAGCGAGTTTGGCCCCCACTTTTCTTGTTAAGTGAATCACAGAAGCCATGAAATTAGTCACCTGGTTGTTAAGTGAATCTGGTCCCCGCCCCCATTGACTTCGCTTGTCTGAAGGTCACCGAAGGGAATCACGTGACCTTCGGACACTGCAACCATCAGAACTGCGAGTTAGTTGCTGGGCATTCAAATTTTGATCCCATCACCATGGGGACGATGGCACAGTCGCTAAGTGGAAAAAATAGTCCTAAGTCACTTTTTTCAGTGCTCTTGGTCACTAAATGAACTGTTCTAATGCAAGGAGTTACCTGTATGATGTTATTTTCCCCAGGATAGGATTATTTTATTAACTGTATATTTTAATGGTTGTTTCATCTTAGCCTGTTTTTCTGTCCTTGTAAGACAACTGAATAACTATTTAAATAAGCAAATAGAAATTGGATACAAAACTTAACGCGCTGCCTTTTAACCACAGCTAATGCGCCAAGGGAACTTGTTTGGTGCCCTGAATAAGGACAGAAACCAGTAGAACCAGTCCCGCCTTAGGCACAGAGCCAGCCGGATGACCTCTTGGGTCTCTCATTCGATCCTTGGAAGGAGGCGGAAGGACAGGTCCCTCCTGAAAATGTTGCCAAGAAAATTGCAGTTCCCAGGAGTCAACAATTGACTCAAAAGACACAGTAAAATGCTAAGCAAGTTATTTTACTTTGTTCCAGAATAATGTACAAATGTATAAATTAACAGAGGTGGAAGGGACCTTGGAGATCATCTTGTCCAACCCTCCTGCCCAAGCAGACCCTACGCTATTTTTGACAGATGGCAGTTCAGTCTCTTCTTGAAAGCTTCCAGTGATGAAGCTCCTACAACTTCTGAAGGCAACTTCTGTTCCATCGGTTGACTGCTGTCACTATCAGAAAATTTCTCCTTATTTCCAGGTTGTTCAGTTTCCATCCATTCTTCCTTGTCTGGCCTTTGGGTGCTTTGGAAAACAGCTTGACCCCCTTCCTCCTCTCTGGGGCAGCCCCTCAAATATTGGAAGATGCTATCCTGTCTCCCCTGGTCCTTCCCTTCCCTAGACTAGCCAGGCCCAGTTCCTGCATCCGTTCATCGTGTGTTTTAGCCTCCAGTCCCCTCATCATCCTGGTTGCTCTTCTCTGCACCTTTTCTCAAGGTTTTTTTTTTTTATAGTGTGGTGGCCAAAATTGGATGCAGGATTCTAGGTGTGGTCTTACTTTATAGAGTGGTATTAGTGGTATTAGTACCTGCCTTGATTGTATCCCTGTTAATGCAATTTAGGATTGCGTTAGCTTTTTTGGATGCTGCTACACACAGCTGGCTCATATTTAGCTGGTTGTCCACTAAGACTCCAAGATCCTTCTCAGTTACTACTATTAAGCCAGGTTTCACCCAGTCTGTATGTGTACCTTTCGTTTTTCTTGCCTAAGTGTAAGACTTTATTGGTTTGTACCTCCCTTGATCTTGATTGTATCCCTGTTAATGCAATTTAGGATTGCATTGGGTTTTTTGGGCTCTTTTTAAAAAAGAGAATAAAATAAAATTGTAAATTCTACAGTAATTATAAATTCTACAGTAATTATAAATTTTACAGTATCAAAAATAGACTCTTGGTTATGGAAGTAATTATAATCAATTTTGAAGTAGTAAATTAAACTAAGGCCCTCTGGAACTACCTAGATGATATAGGCAGCACACAAATCTAATAATGAATAAATAAAAACTTATTTTGTCCAGCTGGGTTTCTCCCACCATACAGAGCCAATTCAGGGGGAGAATGGACAATTTTATTTTAGCCGACCTGCCGTCATCTATCATCCCTTTTTCCCTAAGTCTAAGCACCATATATTCAAGGCTTTTCAGATAGATGAATTCCAGATTTCTGGAATATAATTTAGCAGCATATTCACATTTTTAAAACTCAATTTCCTCCTCCAACATTAGTTCACCACTAACCATGCAAGAATTTCCATTTCCACATGGAAGTCTGTTCAAATTTGTTACGTTGCCAGTTTTAAGAATAACTGTTAACTATTTTTAAACAGCTGCTGAGGAATAGTCACTTCCAGAAATAATTTTCTATTGGTCTAATTTAGATTTAAAATAATAAGAAACATTTAGTATTTCTTAAAATTCAATGCCACATGATTCAGCAATCATTTGTGTATTCTAAATGCATGATTATCCAATTTAATAACATTGTTAGCAATATTATCTAATTATCCCACTTTCAATCTTTTACACTTTAATTTCCTTAAATGAATTCATTGTTGCTTTAAATTTTAGAGTTCCTATGGTACTTGGAAGAAAGGACTTGCCATGGCTTTAAATGCTGCCCAGCAGTAATTTTTAAGCTGGGCTTGCAGTGGTACAGATTTAGGATTTTCATATAGTACAAATTAAAACACCATTTTTGTATGAAAAACATGGCTTTAGAAAACTGTTGGGAGAAAAATCCATCTGGTTCAGTTCCAAACTGGGAGAAAGATGTTGGAAACAATATGGAGGAGGCTTGATTGGACAGTCCCATTTACTGGTGAACAGAACCACCAGGGTTTCTGGTTCCGGGTCAGCTCAATTAACTAGATGAGTGCCAGGATTTTTTATATCGTGCAATGAATATCATGCAGTGAATCATGTGTTTGAGATGGGCAGCCATAGAAATCTACTGAATAAATAAATTGTGTTTATTGCCTTTTTACAGCCTGTATCTCCTATATTACAATTTCAAAATATCAACCTGTAGATATTTTGGAAATTCCTCAAACATTATAAAAAGAAACAACCACCCAGGACCCTTGTTCTAAGAAAGACCAAAGACAAACTCGATCTGAACTCCTTCGGCCTTAGATTCAGATTAAGAGAGTTGGAAGGGACCTTGTAGGTCATCTAGTCCAACCCCCCACCCAAGCAGGAGACCCTGCAGCTTTGTCCTGCTCTTCTGTGAGGCAAACGATCGACATCCATGTTTCCACAAGACCCATGAGGGCCAATGCCAGGCATGGTGGGAAAAGCTCCTGTGTCCCCTCTCAAGGGAGCGGCTGCCTGGGCTGCATTTCCCTTTGCTGTAGCTTCCGAATGAGCTCCAGCATGTTCATTTGGAGCGTCAGTTCCTGGGAGAGAAACCAAGAGTTTTTGTTTTTTAACTTAGGAATAAAAGCAAGCCAACTTCTCCCACCCACCCACCTGTCAGCAAAACTTCTTGCAAGAAGCCAGGGCAAAGCCGAGCCACTTCCACATCCTGCCCACAAACAATAGATTACAACAGAGGTCTCCAAACTTGGCAACTTTAAGACTTGTGGACTTCAACTCCCAGAATTCCTCAGCCAGCATAGCTTACACGGCTTACAACCCCAGTATATGAAAATAAAGACCTATTTCTCCTCCAGGGCCACCTGTTGCTGCTGTGTCAAGAGATTCTGCAGGTCCGGTGGAAGAGCCCCCCCCATTCCCTCTCTTCCTAGCAGGGCTCTCTGATCCTGGGGTGGGGATGTTGTTCAGTGATTTCCAAGAGGGTGGGCCGCCCCCACCCCCTGATCTCAGGAGGGGGGATGGAAGATGGGCCTTTGCATCTCTCCCTGCTAGACTCTCTAGAGCAGGGGTCTCCAACCTTGGCAAGTGTCCTGCCCCTGTCAGAGTCTGATTCCGAGGAGGAAGTCGAACAGCTGACAGGGAGTGGGAGTGTGGCTCCATTGGCTGTGGAGGAAACTGGGGAAGGGCGAAGTCCGGCTGGGCAGAGCAGGGAAGAGGTAGAACAAGGGAGAGGGAGTTCAGAGGAAGACCCAGGCCCACCCCGTCTTCATCCTAGGGCACTCAGGGAGGAACAGAGAAGGGAGCAACGTGGGTTGCATGGCTTATGGAGGAGGAAAGGGCCCTGATTCCCTTCATTAACCACAACTGAGAACACAGTTGCGTGTGGCAGCCTGCTAGGAGCAAATGTGACTTTATCTTGCGTTGCCGTGGTTTATCTGTGTTCCTGGCGTCTCCCAACTGTGTGAGTTTTGCCGTGCTTTCAAATCTGAAATTCTTGCTCCTGCCCTGCCAAACTAATTACTTCAGTTTGGCTTGTTTGGACTTTAAGTTAACAGTTTTTGTTGACCATGTTTTGGACTTGATTCCCTGCAGCCAAAGGCTGTTTCTGGGAGAGTTTTTCTCCAGCCAGAAGGTAACCTGGACATTGGGGGCAAAGTTGGAGCTAATAAAAGGACTATTATTGATCATCTGATTGTGTTGCCTTTGTGCCACGCCCCTTTGGGTCATCACACCAACTTTAAGACTTGTGGACTTCAACTGTTGAAGTCCACAAGTCTTAAAGTGGCCAAGGTTGGAGACCCCTGCTCTAGGGTGGGCAGCTTCACCCCAGGGCAGGCGTTCTTCAGCCCCGACATCCCAGTCTGCCTTCTTGCTGCCACTTAGCTTTGGGCAAAGCCGGATTCCGGCCTGAACAGACCTGGGGGTTGGTGGTGATGTAGAAGCCACAGATGCCAGCTTTCTCCAATGTGCTCTGCTGGTCCACCACTTTCTGATCCAGCTCCAAGACTATTTTCTCATCCATCATCCGTAGCTCAGTATGAATCCGCTGCTCCACAGCCTGAGCAAAGGAGGAACCCAAGAGGCCAAAGAAGGAACCACCATCAAACAGCGTTTGGCATTTTGAACTATGCTTCAAGCCATATGCACTAAAGGGGGAAGGAAGCACTCCAACCCCACCCATCGCTCTTGCTGCCTTCACCTCCATCTCTCGCTGCTGAGCGGCCTTCAGAAGGGGCAGGTTGTGGGGCTGGCAGCTCTGCTGGTCCTCCTTGTGTTTGCGGAAGGTCTCCTGCTTCAGGGCTGGTGAAAAAAGGAAGGAGGAAAACAAAATGAGCCCCCCCCCCAAGATGCAGCCCGTCACCCGCCCAACCTTCTTGGCCTCTGTTGGCTACTCTGCTGTGCTCATAGAGTGCAGTCCACTTACAACTTTGTTTAGTAGAGCTGTGATGGCCCAGTGGTTAGAAGGCAGTACTGCAGGCTACTTCTGCTGCCTGCCGGCTGCCTGCAATTTGGCAGTTCAAATCCCACCAGGCTCAAGGTTGACTCGGCCTTTCAGCTTTCTGATTGGGTAAAATGAGGACCCAGATTGTTGCAAACAATATGCTGACTCTGTAAACCACTTAGAGAGGGCTGGAAAGCACTATAAAGTGGTATATAAGTCTGTGCTATGGCTATTGCTATTCTTTTACTCCTTCCTTCCTTCCTGCCTGCCTGCCCAGTGGTTAGAATGCAGTATTGCAGGTTAATTCTGTCAGCAGTTTGATTCTCACCAATTAAAGGTTGACTCAGCCTTCCATCCTTCTGAGGTCAGTAAAATGAGAACCCAGATTGTTGGGGGCAAGAAGCTGACTCTGCAAACTGCTTAGAGAGGCCTGTAAACGTCTAAGACAGAGGTCTTCAAACTTGGCAACTTTAAGACTTGTGGACTTCAACTCCCAGAATTCTCCAACCAACTATGCTGGCTGGAGATTCTGGGAGTTGAAGTCCACAACTCTTAAAGTGGCCAAGGTTGGGGAGCCCTGGTCTAAGGGCTATTGTTATTGCCTGCCTGCCTGCCTGCCTTCCTCTGCCCACTGCCAGCAGTTTGATTCTGACTGTCTCAACATTGACTCAGCATTCCCTCCTTCCGAGGTGGGTAAAATGAGGACCCGGATTGTTGGGGGCAACAGGCTGAAGCACTAAACCGCTTAGAGTGGGCTGGAAAGCACTGTGAAGCGGTATATAAGGGCTACTGCTTTTATAAATAAATGTGATTTTAAACCAGTTTATTTTTAAGAACGCACCAGTTTGCAGAGCATGCTAAATTTAAGTTAAAAGGAAGCTGGGTGTTTTATGACTGGGCATAGCAATGAAAGTGCCTTACACAGTCTGGAAGAACATCATTTTCAGGTGTTAATATGATGGATTTGTCTTGCACATATTTGGCCAGACAACTTTCTATAATTATGCAAAGTGGTTCCAGCTAAAAGTAGAATACAGGTGAAAGGGACCTTGGAAGTCTTCTAGTCCAACCCCTGCCCAAGCAGGAGACCTTATAGGATATACCATGTGGCTGTCTAGTCTTTTCTTAAAACCTCGAGTGATGGAGCACCCACAACTTCTGAAGGCAACTTCTGTTGCACTGTTAGGAAGTTTTTCCTTAATTCCAGGTTGCTTCTCTCCTTGATTAGTTTCCAACCATTGTTTCTTGTCCTGCCCTCTGCTGTTTTGGAGCATAATTTGACACCCCGCCCCTTCTCTGGGGCAGCCCCTCAAATACTGGAACACTGCTATCATGTCACCTCTAATTCTTCTTTTCATTAGACTAACTAAACCCATATCCTGCAACCATTTTTCATATGTATAGTTTCTAGGCCTTTGATCATCTTAATTGCTCTTCTCTGAACTTTTTCCAAAGTCTCAACATCTTTTTTTGTAATGTGGTGACCCCAATAATGTGGGTTGTGGTATTCCAGGTGTGGCCTTACTAGGGTTTTATAAAGTGGTACTAATACTTCATGTGATCTTGATTCTCTGCCTCTGTTTATACAATCCAGGATTGTATTAGCATTTTTGGCTGCTGCTGCACACTGCACACTTTCCCTTATCCGCTGCTGGGAGGTGCAGGAAAGGTGATATTGTGATATTGTGATGCCACTAGACCAGGAGGAAGAAACCTTCCAGCTCTCACCACCCCTCCATTCCTTCTAAGAGGGTGAATTGAGCCTCCAGCCATCTCCTTCTGCTCACATAAAGGGAAGAAGGTGAAAAGCACCGTTTGGCCCAGGACTCCTGCCCCTTCACTAGTGAGTGCAAAGGCTCGGTGGGCATGACTCATGTGGCTCACTTGCCTCGATGCTCCGTCTGCAGTTTGAGCCGCTGGTTGTAGAGGTTTCGCTCCGTCAGGTGCTGGATGTCCAGCAGGCCCTGTACGATCTCAAAGACGGTCCCGTCAAGAAGGGCCAAGGCCAGGTCGCTGAGGATGGTGTAGGACAGCCTCTGCTGAGAAGAACTGCGGGGAGGAAATACCTTTGTCATCAGGAGTGCGCTGAGCGGGAGGGCAATTGCAACTCAATCACAAAAACTCAACCACAAAAACTCAAACCATGGAAACTCAACCATGGAAACTCAATCGGGGTGGGATTGTTCTGTATTCTGTACAGTAGTGGATTTGAAAGCTGTGCAGATGCAGATAAACTCAACAAGACGTCCATAACAACGTACATTTATTGGTTCATCAGGTATCCTCGTAACTCACATTTGTGATGAAGTTCTTCTTTAATGACCAATCCTTTGTATATCTATTTTGTAGGTAAAAAGATGATTATCTTCTATCCTTTTTCTCTCATCTCGTGGCAATAGAAGTAGAACAGTTACCACGAGTCTATGAGTTCAGCCAAGAGAGGAAAACTCCTACCCATCGAGGGTTAATTTAGTGACCAATCAGGATTACAGATGTGGTCACGTGATATGGACTACATTTCCCAGGATACCTTAACTACATTTACCATGATGCATTCCCTTAAAGGGACACTCACAATTGCTACCTAACTATCCAAATCCCATTAACTCTAAACTGTCTGGACAGCACAGGGATTCTACTTGGTCGGACCCGTTCTATAAACCGGTTGTTACGATTCTGCGCAGTTCGGAGAACCGGAAAATCGTGCCACTGGCTGGCCCCTCCCCTCCCCTCCCAGACCCCTCACTCCTTACCTGGCATGCGCGCCATCCAACCTGCCTGCTCAGTTGCTATTCTTCCTTTTTTCCGCCCCGACCATCGGGAGATTTAGATTAGCTAGAAAGCAGGAAATCATTGGATTTCTTGCTTTCTAGCTAATCTAAAAGCAGAGCTGAACCTTCCTTAGGACAGAAGCTTCTATTATTCAGTGCAGACTCAGGTAGCCGATTGCGGAAAGGTAGATCTCTGAGTGAATCTGTGATTCTGTGAGCAACTCAATCTGCCTGCCTGCTTTGCCGGATTTCTGGTAAAAGTTACTCTTTTTAAATAAAAAAAATCAATATTTACATAAATATTTATAATATTTACATACAAGCCACGCTGTCACATGACCACCAAGCCACGCCCAGCCACTAAGCCATGCCCAGCCAGTCGCATTCCCACCAAGCCACACCCACAAATTAGGCCACGCCCACAGATCCGGTTGTTAAGAAATTTGAATACCAACCCCAAACTCAACCATGGAAACTCAACCATGGAAAGAGGCCAGTAAATTAGCCTCTTTCTCCCAAGCACAAGGAAAGTGTTTGTCTTTAAGGACTACAGGAGTTTAGACGCAACTGGATCAAATCCCCACAAATCCCCATTTCTGCTTGTTGGCTCAAAAATGTGGAAAGCTACTTGTCAGCTGGGTTTTCACAAGCATTAAACCGAGGTCAACAGAACCCGCGGCTGTATGCACGCACAAAATACATGGCACCCCTGCAAATAAAGAGTGCAGCTTGGGGAATGGGGGGCTTCTGCACTGAAACACCCCCCCCCACACACACACACTGCTATTTTGTGTCGAGCCCAAGCCTGCTCCTTCCAACTCTTATTTCCAAGCCTTTCCAAACCTTTTTAACGGAATGGAATAAAGGAATAATTGAGTGGGAAGGGACCTCAGAGGTCTTCTAGTCCAGCGCCCTGCTCAAACACGGGACTCTCTTGTCAGTGATGCACAAAAGCGGACCGATCCTCCAGGTAAGTCTGCCTCTTCAGCGCATGCAGCTTTACCTGCCCTCCCTATTCCGTTTCCACTGCCATTCCTCAAGGGTTTATGGCTCCTGGCTCTTTTGATGGGGAAAACAGAAGGAACTTCACTGACTACATAAGGAGTTTTCCCCTTTCTTGGTCAGAAAACAATGCAGAGTATATATTATAAAGGGTCTAAACGGGATGGGCTGAATAATATTGGTTTAAAATTGGTCTTTCCAGACAACGGACTGGATTAAGGTTTGTCAATCAGTGAGACTCTGTTAGACTCAGTCTTATTGGACAATGGGACAAATAAAGGCCTGGAGACTAAACCATATGAAGAACGGCTGCAGGACTCGGGTTTGGCTCGTCTAAAGAAAAGAAGAATTAGGGGCGAGATGATAGCAGTCTTCCGGTATTTGAGGGGCTGCCACAAAGAAGAGGGGCTCAAATTATTCTGCAAAGCCCCTGAGGGCAGGAGAAGAAACAAGGGATGGAAACTATTCAAGGAGAGAAGCAACCTGGAATGAAGGAGAACCTTCCTAACAGGGAGGACAATTAACCAGGGGAATGGCTTGCCACTAGAAATCGTGGCATCTCCACCACTGGAGGTTTTTAAGAAGAAATTAGACGGCCACTTGTCTGAAATGGCACAGGGTCTCCTGCTTAAGCAGGGGGCTGATGTAGGTCACCAAGGTGGAGGAGCAGGTGCCCTTTGATAGAAGGAGAAGGCAGGTGGGTCATCCCTGCAGGCTAAAGGGTCAGTTACTGTCAGCTGTTATCAGAGGGAAGATGCCTTCCTGGAGATAAGCTGCCTTTCGTGGGACTCCGGGGAAGTTTCCCTCCTTTTATAACCCCCTCGCAGAGGGGTGAGTTGAGGGTGGCTTGGATTTAGGGTGGGGGGCTGAAGGTGAGAGGGTGGGGGACAGGCTGAAGAGGAGGGGGAAGGGGAGAAACAAAAGGTTAAAAAGGGGATGGGGAGGAGGAAAGGAAGATGGGGAAGGGGAGACAAGGAGGAGGGCAAAGAGTTTTTTTAAAAAACTTTTTTTCTGGAAAAGATCACATTAGGGCAGGGGCCTTCAAAATTGACAGCTTTAAGACTTGTGGACTTCAATTCCCAGAATTCCTCAGCCCACCATAGATGAAGTCCACAAGCCGTAAAATTGCCAAGTTTGGAGAGCCCTGGTCTAAGACAACTGGGGATTCCATGTTGAAAAAGTCTTATGCAGGCGTCTTCAAACTTGACAGCTTGAAGATTTATGGACTTCAACTCCCAGAATTCCTCCTCCAGTCCTGTTAGCTCAGGAACTCTGGAGTCCACAAATCTTAAACTTGCCAAGGTTGAAGACCCTTGAGATAAATGGTTGGAAGGGACCTTGTAGGTCATCTAGTTCAACTCCTGCACCCCAGCAGGAGACCCTACACCAGGAGTCTTCAAACTTGGCAGCTTTCAGACTTGTGGACTTCAACTCCCAGAATTCCTCCTCCTCTCATGTTAGCTCAGGAATTCTGGGAGTTGAAGTCCACAAGTCTGAAAGTGGCCAAGTTTGACCCTTGTGTGTGTGTGTGTGGGGGGGGTGTGTCTCCAAACTTGCCACTTTAGGACTTGTGGATTCCAACTCCCAGAGTTCCTCAGCCAGCAAAGCCAGCTGAGGAATTCTGGGAGTTGGAGTCCACAAGTGACCAAAGTTGGAGACCACTGTAAATTTCCAGAAGCCCCCCTTCCTTAAATATGCCTCCCCGCCTTTCAGAGCCAAACGGGCATGAACAACCCCGCCCTTGCTGTGCCCCAAAAGCCAAGCCACTTGGAGGCCCCCCCCCCCCCCCCCCCTGGGGGCTCCCGGGCGCCCCCCTCTGCCCCCCCCCCCCCCCGCTCCCTCGGACGTGGCGGGGAAAACCCGGCGGTCGGTCGGTCGGTCGGGGAGGGGGCTGGTCCGGACCCCGCTGCTCTGCGCGAAGCCCCGTCCTCCGCCGCCCCTCCTCGCACCCCCCCGCCGTCTCCACCCACCTGGGCAGCTGCTTCACCAGCGCCTGCAGCTCCGAGAGCATCTGGTAGTGCCGCGCCTGCTGCCTCGCCGGACGGTCGCCGCCCAAGCCCCCTCCTCCTCCGCCGGCTGGGCCCCCGCCCGCCTCGCCCTCCGGGAAGACGAAGGCAGCAGCGAAGCGCTCCATGGACTGCAGGGCGGGGCGGGGGGGGGGGAGGGGGGAGTAGAGCGCGGCGGCGGCTTCTCGCGCGAGCCTGCAGACGCCCCGCCCCTTGCCCCGCCCCCTCCGCCGAGCCAAGGCGGGAGGGGGGCTTCCTCCGTCTCGGGGGCCGCGCCGAGAAGGTCCCCTTTCTCCCCTCCCCGCTGCTGCTTTCTCCCTTCTTAATTGTTGCCCCCCCCCGGCGCCTGAGTAGAGGAATACAGATTAACAGAGTTGGAAGGGACCTTGGAGGTCATCTAGTCCAGCCACCCCAGCCACCCCCCCGCGCCCAAGCAGGAGACCCTACACCAGGGGTCTTCAAACTTGGCAAGTTTAAGACTTGTGGACTTCAACTCCCAGAATTCCTGAGCTAACATGACTGGAGGAGGAGGAATTCTGGGAGTTGAAGTCCACAAGTCTTAAAGCTGTCAAGTTTGAAGACCCCCTGCCCTACACCATTCCTGACAGATAGGGCGGGCGGGGTCTCCTCCTCCGGCGATGCCCAGCTTGCGTTTCGGTCAATGCAACCTAAATGTGCAATTGTGCAGCCACATCCTGTGTTTGTTTGCTGGCTCGGATTCCATTACAAGAGTGCAAAAAACCCCCAAACACGTCCCCCCCACTTCCCCTCCCTCCCCTCCCCATCCTGGACCCCAGCCTCCTGTTTGACAAGCACTCAGAAGAGTTGCATGTCCAGTGGCGGATTAAGGCTCACTGGTGCCCTAAGCCAGGGGTCTCCAACCTTCTGGCAGACTTCAACTCCCAGAATTCTGGGAGCTGAAGTCCTCCAGGCTTAAAGTTCCCAAGGTTGGAGACCCCTGCCCTTAGCACTGACAATGTTTACTAGTATAATTTGATTTGATCACTTATTATGATGTTTCCTAGTATGAACTGATTGCTTATTTCTACCCTTTGACTACGATTAAGTGTTATACCTATGATCCTTGACAAATGTATTTTTTTCTTTTTCTTTTTTATAAACACTAAGAGATTTTGCACCAAAGACAAATTCCTTGGGTGTCCAATCACACTTGGACACCTGGTGCCCTAAGCATATACTTAGCCTGCTTCATGGTTAATACACCACGGAGTGAGCCTCCATACACAGGAACCTCTTAATAAGCTGGTTTTCCACGTGCAAGTCTTCCGGATCACCTCTCCAGCTTGGCAATAGGTGCAGTTCCACACCTGTCCAGGAAATGGCGATCTCCAACAGCTGGATGCCAGGAGGGGGCTTTGGGCTGCACACCCCAACCTGGCAAGGTTTCCGCTGTGATAAAGGCGCCTCCAAGGGACCCAACACTGGTTACTGCAGGGGGTTGGACTAGAAGACCTCCAAGGTCCTGAAGGATCAGATGATGGCATGTATGTACAGAGGAGGCCCTGGGGATCGGAGGAAGGGTCCTATGTGGAGATAGGACCCAGGTATGGATGGAATGGACATGAGGGGGAGGAATATGAATTCTGATAAAACATTTTCTCTTGTCTTCATTTCTTGGCCTTAAGCTGCCTTGCTCCTTCCTGTCTTCTCCCTCTCTACAGAAGAAGGGGGGGGGTCACAGGGGTGTGTGTGCTGCCTCAGACAAAGATTTAAAACTGCTTTTACTTTTCCCTGTGGAAAGGGGGGTCGCAGGGAGTGGAGGAGCTACCTTGAGCTGCTCTGCAATAGGAAAGGGGTTGGAACCGCACATTCCTAGTGAGGCAGAAGTTAGCACCTTAAACCACTAGCCAGGATATTAGGGACAAGAACAGCTTTCTTATAAGAAAAACCCCCAAAACCACATCGTTGGCACATGAAACTAGGACACTTGGCAAGATACCTGTGACCTGGGGTGAAAAATGATGACATGACATTTAGCTATGTAGGGGGCTGAGATCCAAATAACCAATCAATATGACCTGCTATGTATGCATTATTAGAGGAAGGGCAAAGGGCTGAATGCGACCACCCCTTGACCCTAAAAATTGCTGTAAGATTCTCATCGAGGCCCTTGGTTAGCTTTCGAACCAGGGTCCTTATATCTTGGTACCAAAATAAAAGTATATTGTATCACACCTTGTGTCCAGTGACTTATCGGCTTTGACACCAACCAAGCAAGAGCCCAGTTTTGGGGACAACAGTCCCTTCCAACTCTGTGATTCTATATATATTCCACCTGCTGCATCTCCCCTCCCCCCTTTTGTTTGTTTCCTCCCTTGAAATCGTGGGTGAGCCTTTCAGCCACAAAGGGCAGCCGAGCATTAGGGTTTTATGTATTGTCCTCTTCTGGCTGGCAGGAGTTGCAGCTGCTCGGTATGTTTGGAGAGTAGGGTTTTCACTGCAGGGAAGCAGGAGACGTATAAAGCTCCCCAAGAATGTAGGCCAGGGGTCCCCAAACTTGGCAACTTTAAGACCTGTAGACTTCAACTCCCAGAATTCTCCAGCCAGCATAGCCCACAAGTCCACAAGTCTTAGAGTTGCCAAGTTAGGGGACTATTAGATGGGTTTGCGGGAATAAGAGGCAGGACGCGGCAGGAGCAGGTAAAACTCTTTTTATTGCTGTTTAAGTAAAAAGCCACTCAGCCGCGGCAGGTGCCAGATTTTGTAGCTAGCGCTGTCCAAAGCTTCAGCCACTGATGGGACTTAATTTCTCCCGCCAGTGGCTGGGCCAATGAGTGGAGTCTGCTAGCCGACTCCACTCTATGGCCATATTTGGTAATACTTAACACCCCTCCCCTCCTAGTTAGTGTTCCTCCCATCAACATCACATACCTTACATTGTCACGTAGGTAGGCAGGGCTTTGAGGGGTGTGACTGGACCTGTACACCTCACTAGTTCCTGGGGCAGTGGCCTGAGTGGATGGGTCCGCCGCTGCTCTGGTCCCTGCCTGTGGAACCATCTCGAAGTCGTCTTGTGGTGCAGCAGGGACTGTTGAGCTTGAGGCCTCAGAAGTACACCAGGGATTTCCTCTTCAAAAGATAAGTGTTCCCGTGTTCTGTCCGGGTTTGAGGCTAGGCAGTCAGTTCTCTTGTTGAGCTCTGTATGTAGGGCCTGAGTCAGCGACCGTTCTGCTGGAGAGTGTCAGGTGTCTGGCTGGTTGTCTGTGCTAGGGACCCGGCCTCTGATCTGGTCAATGTGTCTCTCCCACAGTCTCCCTTCTTCGGTTTCTACCCTGTATGATCAGGGGCCTGTAATCCCTGTGACCCTGGCTGGTACCCATGTGGGTCCCTCTGTATAATTGTAGGCGTAGACCGGGTCCCCTATGGTGAATTGCCTGCACTTTCCCATGGAATCTATGGGTGTCTCAGTGCTGTAGTTGGGGTGGACTCTGTCAAGTGTTGATTGTAGCCTTTGGCCCATTAATAGTTCTGCGGGGCTAAAGTGTGTTGTTACGTGGGGTGTGATGTGTTGGGCCAAGAGCATTTTATCAATCCTTTCTTGCCAGTCCCCTCAGCCCATTCGCTTGAGCGTTTCTTTGGTCATTCGGACCATTCTCTCTGCTTGTCCGTTTGTCGCTGGATGTGCAGGTGCGGACAGTGCGTGCCTGATCCCCAGTCCAGCCAGGAATGCTTTGAATGGCTGCAAGGTGAACTGCAGCTCGTTGCCAGAGATGAGGATGTCCAGAAGCCCATGAGTGGAGAATAGTTGTCAGAGGGCTCTTATGGTGGCCTCTGATGTGGTGGACTTCATTAGTATTACTTCCAACCACTTGGAGTATGCATTGACGACTATGAGGAAAATTTGCCCCTTGCAGGGCCCAGTGAAGTCAATGTGTACTCAGGCCCGTGGGGCTGTGGGTGTCTCCCATTTTCTGGGGCTCACTGCTGGGGGGACTGGTCTGGTTTTTTGACAGGGGGTGCAGGTGGCGACCCAGGTTTCTTTGTCCAGCCCTGGCCACCACACATAGCTTCTGGCCAGGGCTTTCTTTCGGACTATCCCCAGGTGGCCCTCGTGTAGCAGTGTCAATATTCTATTCCTTAGTGGGGGCGGAATAACTACTCTCTCCACCCCCAGTATGCAGCCCTTTAGTACTGACAGCTCAGCCTGTCTGTTTTTATACGGTTTGAATTCATCCCCTTTTACCGCTTCCGGCCATCCCCTCCACACCCAGTTTGAAATCCACGCCATAATTTTGTTGCGGGCTGTGAGTGTCACGATCTCTGTAGACGTCATCAGTCCAGGCAGTAGTTCCTCCACTAGTAATACTGTGGTGGACAGCGCCAGGTCTTCGGCTAGGTCTGGAAGGGGACAGCGGCTCAGGGCGTCGGCGAGGGAGATGTCTTTTCCTGGCCTGTGGATTATGTGGTAGCTATATGAGACCAGGAACACAGTCCATCTTAACATCCTGGGTGATAGGATGTTTGGTGTGGGTCTATCTCCGGCGAGGATACCCAGCAAAGGTTTGTGATCAGTGATCAAATTGAATTGTCTTCCATAAAGGTATTCGTGGAAGTGCTTGACTCCTGTGACTGCAGCAAGTGCTTCCTTATTGATATGGCTATAGTTTCTTTGCGTTTTGGACAGTGTCTTTGAGTAATATGGTATGGGGGCTTCTGTCCTGTTGGGTAGTCAGTGGCTGAGGACTGCTCTGATTCCATAGGGAGAGGCATCGCATGTGAGTGTCAATGGTAGCATCTCGCTGTATTGTATGAGAATGCTGCTGGATGTCAGGACGTTTTTAATCTTTTTGAAAGTGTCGGCCTTGTGTTGCCCCCAGGCCCAGGTGGTTGTTTTATCTAGCAGTCTGTGGAGCAGTTCTGCAATGGTCACCTTCTGTGGTAAGAAAACATTGTAGAAGTTGAGTAACCCCAGGAAGGCTTGCAGTTTCATTTTGTTTTGTGGGGTGGGAGCTTCCTGTATCTCCTTCAATTTCCTGTTTGTGGGTCTGATGCCGGATGGTCTATCAGGAAACCCCAAAACTCCACTTGGGGGACGGCTAGGTGGCACTTATTCCTTTTTAATTTCAGTCCGGCTTCCTGGAATCTGCCCAATACTGTCCTCAGTCAATTGCTCCCT